ATGGGCTGAATTGCACAAAACGCATGATCGCACCGGCTAGTCTGGTGCGCATTGCCATTTATTTGATTTGTTTTGTAGTTAATATCATGCAACTTTGTGCCAGGCGGAAGTTTCTCGTATATCTTACTGCTTGCCTTGAATTTGTTGGCTTGGCAGTAAATCATGAGGTCATATTTTCGACAGCTCCCAGGTGTCGGAATTTGAGAAAGCGCGAAAATTAAATTGATTTTTTTGGATCCATAAGTAACCTCAGTGATGGCCGCAGATACTAGCTCCGTAGCTCTCGTATTTCTGAAGCTGAAACTTTGCTGGGAAGGCAGTCATACGTATCTGACATAGACGGTTTTACCTTAATGCTTTTTTTAGTGCATTAAGAAAAATGCATGAAAATAGGAGCGCTAAATTACATAGCATATTTGGATGAGTCGATGAGGCAAGCGCGAAAACTTACCGCTTCTCAGCTTGCTTACACAATCCATGGTTGGCTTGAAAAATCATTCGAATCTCTGCTTAGTGCCTTTGTACAAGCATTGTCACCCAGAGGCGCAGATATACAAACAGAAATTGTCCTTTTCCATGCCCTATGAATATGTAGGCTATCGGTTTTGAAAACATACATTGCCGTTCACCGAGGACACGTCACTACCTCTAGCACTTGTGATTTGTAAGTATCACAGCTCAAAGTGAGTGCGGAAGGGAAATTTAGGAAGGGAGGGAGGGAGGGGGGCGGGGGAAAACATAAGTGGAGAGGAGGAAAAGGGAGGAGATTTTGTGTCTTCTAAATTTTATAATTCTCATATGTACGCATAAATCCTATTTATTACGCCCTATTTTTCACTCATCCCTAAGTATTTAAAGCAGATACCGCTTTTTAACAGAATCTCATCAGTACGAAAATGGAATGAGGAATCGCGTAATTGGGGGAAAAGGAGAGGGCGGCAGAACAAGGGGAAGGGGGAGTGGGGGAGGAAGAAGGTGGCTAGGTGAGGTGGAATTCAGGGAAGATCATTTAAAGAGGATATTAACTTATTACAGTAATGGGCATTTCTGCATTTTGGGGCGGAACGATTCTTCTAAGCAAATCAGTTCCTGATGATTAGTCCTGATGGTTAATCAGATTCTGATGTATCCTTGTGAGAAGTCAGATCCTGGTGGTTAATCCTTGGCCTGAAATCGCTTGTCGGTTGTTTGTTTGACAAAATATTCATATTTTCAGGAATGTTGTTTTTTTAGAATTTCTTTACTTTGTTCACATTTTGCATGTGATGGAAAAAAGGGAGTAACGAGATAGTGATAGGTAACACTACTCCTAAGCTCAGTTTTCGAGGATTTGCTTTCACCAATGAAACATTCGTTTCGATGATAATCTGGTACTGGCACAAACCAGGGATCACAACTTTTTCTCAGTCCGTTCGTAAGTAAATCTTGAAAAAGAAAATCATCAATGGCTTTACTAGTTGGTAATTACTATTGACAAGTGCTACCACTCACGCTTTTTTCATGTGCTTCTGTCTTTTATAGAGAGATAATCGTGGAGGTTTTGCTTCCCATATGCAGAAACTTAAATTTGTTTCTTACGAAAATGAGGGAAACAGTCAAAAACTCTTCATATTTCTCAAAAAAAAAACTCAATGACATGCGCCAGTTTGCCATCAAAACAAGTCATGGATGGACTGGTTTTCCCACTGGTAGAACTGATTCGTTGGCTTCATCCCTGTGAATAGCATTGATTGCCACCACACTAACTCGCCAATACTTTTGTCCAGTTATGCTTTTGAGGTCATTATGCCCACTGATTCGCAGGAATGCATGCTGCGCCCATTCATTCATTCACTCATTCAACTGTCCAAAAAATTCAGCGCAGCACGGGCGATCGTATAGGCGGTGCATTTGATAATTTGTGGTGGGAATGAAATTAGCACACGTCCCTCCTTCACTTCTTCCTCAAACCAAGATATGCTTCGGAATCATTTTAAAAAATGCCTTTCCCTAATTACTTTTCTTTGGTTCTCATCCTAAAGGAAATCTTACTTTTTTATTTCATTTCACAGCTAGCTTCGGCAAACACTGCTGTATTTACACATTCCAAACAGAGTATAGTCTCTCTCTCTCTCGCTTGCTGCAATCTATTTTCTCAAAATTCGTAAATCCACTGATTTCCTAGTGACTTATTGCTACAGAGCAAAGCAATCACGTATTTTGTCGATATCATGCACTCCTGACTGTAGATACAGACTGTTTGCCGACTATGTACACGCACGATCTGTGCTGAAGCCCTCCAGAATTCTCAATCTTATTTCAGTGGCAATGATCATCAACACAGACTTTCAGTGTTTGATATAATTAAGTATTTGGTTACGGTCACTCTTCTCCGCCCACTCAAAAATTTTTAGCAATAGATCTGAAAAAAACGAGTTTCTGAGAAACTATGAAACGCTTGTGATTTTATAAAAATTGCTTTATCTGTGATAATCAGTGTTTTGGATTATTGATGGGAACAGCTGCAACAGTTGCGTAATTGCTCAAATCCCTTTGTACATTTTGACGCTCCTTATCCCGTGATTTTTTTTTTCTAAATTTCCAGATCTCTCTCTCTCTCCCCCAAGATATTCGGGGAAAGATCGTGAATTCATTTCACCTCACGAACTGAAATTTCTTCCGCAAAATTTAGCTGAATGGTTTGCAATAGGCAGATATTGTTCGCAATGAATCAGCTTCTTCGCTTTTCTCAATTTGCCCTCCGCTCACATTCCTTCTGCTCTCGTCGCCCTTAATTCCGGATTTCTGGACGTGTGTGCTTACCGAAAATCACTGGAAGACTGTATTGACCAGTTTTCAGCCTAAGCTTACTTTCACAGCGAATGCACTGTTTTGCATTGCAGATGTGAATGCGAGTGATACTGGTGAACACCAGACAGCAGCGGAACGCGTGAACAGTGGTGAGCCAGGTCGCGTCTCTGGAGCCGCACTCCATCCCGAAATATTTTTGAAATTTTAACTGCATCTGTGCGCGAATAATGGCTACCCGTGGCGGTTCTCCACCGACGTCTTCATCAACAACTGTCCGCTTCGATACTACCACTCCAATATCGGATAAATTACCGTCCGCATCCTCGTCGGCCAAAGACAGTCCTCGAAGTGATGCAAATCCTCCGAAGGGTACCACCAGTTTCACAAAGCGGTTTTTCTTCTCATCCAAAAATATTCGCTTTTGGACCAGTGGCCGATCCGGAAAACCTGCTACTTCTTCCAAGCAGAAATTAACCGGACCAACTGGAGCAGCTGATATTGTAAATCAAGGCGATCAGCTGCGATATATCAAGGAAGAGCGGTACGTCATGCGCAGGTTGGTTTTTCGCACTTTTTATACATAGTTTTATGATTATGAGTTGCCTTTTGGGGCATACTTGTCACTGTCCCATTGGATCAGTTTCGAAGTATTTCTACCGGGGATCTGTGTTTAAGGCAGCATAAGCTTTTAGTTCTTGCTGTTAATTATTATTATTATTGTTATTATTATTATTATTATTATTATTATTATTATTCGCCGTTATTCATTATTTTCCATTTCTACTTTTAAATTTTTTTCTTAAATAAAACATCAGTTAAATAATATAAAATCACAACTCAGCGTGCTGTGTAGATCCAATTGTATTGCTGAACAGAACCAAAACTTTGGTAGAATTTAAAACTTCTTATTTTTCACTTACATTATCTACTATGTTCTCTTTTTTCATGACCTCTGTTTTCCATTTCCCATTGGCAATACATGCTTTCTTATAGTGGTTTCTTCACTGCTGACTTTTAGCGAGTTTTCTGCGACATATTGAAATAAATATCAGAATCGCCAGTAAGCTGACAATCACGGGGGTAGCGTGGCCGAGTGAGTGAGAAAAATGTCAGTCACACAACTGGTTAGAAAAAAGCTATGAATTGCAGCTAATTCCAAGTATTCCAAGTTTGCAGATAAAAATGCACCATGATGAGATCATGGCTTCTGATTTACATAATTATGCGGGAAAGCAACTGAATTTTCAGAAAGGCTTGCGCTAGGGTGAACTTTTGCAGTTTGTCTCAAAAAATGTAATCAGAAAGCAGAAAAGCAAAGTCATTTTGAAAAAATAAAGATTCCACATGGGGAGCATTCTTAGAGGCATTGTTCGTTGATTGTTCTCTGTGAACTTGTTTGGTATAAAAGGAAGGGCGGAAATCAAAATTCTGACTGATTCTTTTCAAAATGTTTCAACAAATTTCGTTTTTCATAGACTTTTAAAATAATACAGTAAGGACTGATATTTAGTTTTGCCTCTCGTACTGACTAGTAACAGTCTGTAAGCCAATTAGTTCGCTACTGAAGGAAGGCCTTTTGGGATCGGCAAGAGAAAAAGAGGCAGCGGGTAATTTCTTTTGCCAACAAGAGATGACAAAGGGTTGTATTTTCGTTGGAAGAGAGAAGTGATTTATCATGATTTTTTACCCCCTATTGTTGTTCTTCAAAGTCAAACAAATTTAAAAATTCGAATTCAAACTGTGACGAAAAATCGGCATGCGCGGTTTCGGCTTCACATCATCAATATTCGATTCAATGACTCTCAATGGTTTCTTCCTTGTGCAATTTCAATTTCGCATCATTTCGAGCCGACCCGGTGATTTGCAATGCATTTTTCTCCACCTCGTCATCGAAAGCAAAATCCCGCATCTTTTTTTTACTGCAGTTATTCATTTGTAACATATGTTATCTAGCAACAAATTTGCCTCACTATGGATCCCGCATAAAACAAAATCCAGTTAACAACAAGGCACACCGAGGTTCCCACTGCAACCATGTATTTTTGCGCTAAACAGTTAGATGGTTAACAGTGTAAATGGTTATTGCTTTACATTCAAAATTTGCGTTCGTATTTTCAGTGTTTTCTGTTTTTTTCTGCATGTAAGGGAAAAAAGGTAACTAGGAGATTTAGACAAAATAATTTCGAGAAAATGGTTTCTTGGCTGAGGAACGCCGAATCTCAAACCAAGCTTTTTTGCCTGTTGGTATCTTTACTGTACAATCTTCAGCTGAAATTTAGACCAGTATTCATACCTCCAAAGCCACAGTTCATTAAAGTGGAGATTTTTGCTAGTCCATATACGCCGACTAAGTCGGAAGAGTACCACAACGGGGCGCAACAACTTTTATCATTTGTTTGGAACACTTCGAGCAGCTCTTGTTCGTAGTATGCTTCTCCAATTATGCAACTTTTTCAGTTGCTTTGACCAACAGTAAAACGCCTGATAGTCAGTCTGCTGGCGATTCTGACGTTTGTTTCATCTGTTGAAGGATCAGTATTTATCGTGAATTAGTCCGTTTTCTTACTGTAAATATGCAGCGAGAAAGTAAGCGACCACTCAGGCAGACTTCAAAGAGGTAGCGCACATACACCGAACAGGTGGTTTGTACTAACTGGAGGTGAGCAGTCCAGGTTCAGTGAGGCAGACATAGCCACGCCAGACGTGTAGGAACATCCCAGTACTAACACGAGATACCTACAATGATTGTCCAGGCGGTTTTATATATTTACAGCAACCAATCGCAAAAAAGTATGACCTCATCAATATCCTTGTTATTTACTGCTTTACTCTTTGGTTTCTATATTTAGCAGCAGAAGTTCATAACAAATACAAATTAGTATGACGACGGAAAGCAATCAATCTTTTAGTTAGGTAGAGTCAAATGTAATGTTTACACATTCCTCAGGATTCGTGCGCTGCCGTTTATCCGTGCTTTGCCGAACTGTTTTATGCATGCGGACTGACTATTGTTGTTTGTCGTAATTGAGCAGAATAACTATCTCTGTTTGCAAGGCTTATGTTTACTTTTCATCGAAAAATCTTTAACTTGTTGGAGAAATTCAGAAAAGTTGGAGGAAAAACAAAATTTAGCAGTACTTTTTTGAAAGAATCTGTTGGATTTTGATTTCCGTCTTTCTTCCCTTCCCTTTCCCCTTCTCTGTCCAACCCCTTCCTTTTCAGTCTATCCCTGTTTGAAGTATAAAGTAAAAAAAAGAGAGCTGGCAAATAAGCAAAAGAATCAAATCCTTTCTATTTGCATATTTTCGCACCTAAAATCTGTGAAAAGCTTTTCGTAATTCGTTTAGGAAGAAGTTCACTAATCAAAGTTTAATCTATGCTTTTCAAGCAAGATGTGCAAAGGCACTCCGGATCTTTGGAGTATTTCTGTTTCGGAAGTGCGCTACAGAGATTTGAGGCTCTGTGGACCAAATTCTTGATAAAGTAGCACCCCTTATTTAGTTTAGGATCGAAGCTTTTTACTTAGGGGGCCTGAATTTAGTGTCTTTCGTTTATCGCGGCATGTCAGCGAATGGGAATTTGATCCAACTGGTCACTAAAATTTCCCTCCTGTGTGAACGATTTTAATGTTTGGAAACTGGTGAGGAAGCTTGAATGGGAGATGGTCCCCGGATTCAAAAATGCCTGCTGTTTGGTTGCTTAATCATGCAAAGCCAACACGACCGGAATTTCAAGGTTATTCAAACAAGACGACGCGATGTACAGCACCTGGGATCAACACAGACATGCTTTTTTGTGGTCAAGGGTATTGTGACCAGACGACTTGTACCATTCTTCCATCGTCATCCTTAATGCGTTTTCTCATTCAGCTCCCTGCATATATTTTGCCCGTCGCTTTTCAACATCACCATTCCTGATCTCTAACCCTGATTCCTAGAAACTTTTTTTTTTGCAAGTCCAATAAACCTCATAGCTATGTTTCTTCCGCGACAAAAAAAGTTGTTGGTTGGTTTTGAATTTGCAAGACGTAAATAAGCGGATTTGACGCGGTTCCGCTGTTTTTTTTTTTTAAGTCTATGAGCAAAAAATAGACGAAAGTGGAGGACTGAGGATTTTAATGGAAATAGTATGGGACGATGGCAACAGAATATGGAGAACAGCGACGGAGGGCGAACGGGGGAAAGGGGGTAGGGCGGAGGCAATGAGGGTTTACTGGTACCACTACCAGTAATACAACGTGGATGAGCTGTTTCACTGGAAATGGTAGGAGGAAGAAATAATAATTAAGTTACTGTATTAGTCTGCTTGTATCACTATCTTCGCTTGTAAATGAATTTTCATATAAAAAAAAAAAAACTTGTTGGACAAATTCCTTCAAGTAACAAATTTCGTACTTTAAGGAACTAACATTCCTGTGTAGTACCCAAAAATTCTAATTATAGCCCTCAAAAACGAGAATCAAGAATGTAATGGAGCACTCGCACTTTTCCGTTTCAGCATAGCTTGCCATCTTCTAACTTTATTTGAAATCTTTTTGATTAAATTTGAAGCTTCCTCTGCGAAATTTTTTTTTTTTTGTTCATTTCTGTCTTTTCTTAATCCAAACTGACGTCACATTTCCCTCAGAGATGTTGTTTTCTTGAATATCAATGTGATAGAAAAAGTCTTTTAGGAGCCTGGACTTTTTTTTTTTGAAATTTACTATTCTTAGTGAAATTCAAATCCAGAGATTCAATCAGTAAAATTCTTATCTTCTGACTAAAGAGGTAGTAATCACAAAATTAACGTCTTGCTCATATTTTCTCAAATTCGGTGTTTTTTCTTTTTTTTTTTGTTTGCTAATTTCGGCGTTTTTGCCCATTTTTTCTTCACAATGATTTAGTACATTTTTCTGATTTTTTGTCACCTATCTCTGACTTTTTGCACTTTTTTCACACCTCGGTGTTTGACAAATTGCATTTTTCCCTCTTTACAGGAATGATTTTGTAGCACACTTTGTGTGTGAAAAAGGAAAGGGGTTGAGGTAGGTGACGATTGCCCCTCTTCATCTATCTCGCCCCGTACTTCGCTGTGTTATTAATTATCGGTTTCATCACTAAACGTAGTCTTGGAAGAAAAAAACATTTTTTTTAAATCTATGACGTGTTTATTTGACATTCCATTTGGATCCGAAATATCTTAGAAGCTTTGCTTCTAACTGTCCCCATTTTAGGTCCATAATGGATATTTTTTTTTCGCTGTACAAAGTGAACTAGGAACTATTTTTGGCCAAGCCTAGCAGTGGGGTTGGCTTGAAGCTAGCCCAGATTCCAGCCCATCTTTTGTTGTTTCAATGCTAAATTTCATTTTTTTAATGCATATATTTTCGAGATGACGTAAAACGCGCATATTTTTAGTGCAGATAACGATAAATCAAAAGCCCTTAAGACCTCACTTGATACTTGAAACAGCTGCTGGTTCACCACTGAATCATATTCGGTACTCTTTCAAATAGTGTAGTCATTAACCATGCCATTTTTTTTTCTTCATTTCACAGTTATTTTTACCAATACTGCATCAGCTACTAGTCAGCCTTCTGATAGTT